AGATCAGCCTCTGACAATCTAATTCTTAAAACTCCAAAACAAAACTACGAAACATACGGCGAGCGTTCCTTTTTGTTCTTTGGTCCCCAGGTATGGAACGAAATCCCATATAAAATAAGATCTGCCCCAACAATTTCCATTTTCAAAAATCAGCTGAAGCATTTTTTATTCACAAAAGCATACCTGTCATAATGATGTAGGCCTACTGTGATATATATGCATGTGTATGCCAGACTGTGAGACTGAAGAAATAGCGAGTGAGAATGAGAGAGAGAAAAAGAGAGAGATAGAGAAAAGAGAGAGATAGCGAGAGAGGGAGAGAGATAAGGGAGAGGGAGAGAGAGAGAGAGGGAGAGAGAGAGAGACAGACAGACAGACAGACAGAGAGAGAGAGAGAGAGAGAAAGAGAGAGAGAGAGAGAGAGAGAGAGAGAGAGAGAGAGAGAGAGAGAGAGAGCGGAAATGTTTTTCTATCTGTATAGAATTAATGTTTTAATGAATGTTTCTAGTTACTCACGTTTCAACTGTATTTTGACTGTTCGTGAATTTATATTGCATTGTATATTTTTAGTGAACACATTTTCAACCTCACTGCGAGACTGTTTTTTTGGTATAAAATTTTACACATATGCATTTATATTATATGTATAATACTTTGTTTTACGTACACATTTGTGTCGATTAATTTTTAAGATGTGATGTCTTTTTCATTGTAATGCGCATTGGGCATCTTTTAGGAAATGGAAATGCGCAGTATAAATGCTATTTATTATTATTATTATTATTATTATTATTATTATTATTATTATTATTATTAACGTTACAAGTGCCGTAAAACTCTTGCTAAAACTAAAACAGGTCTTTGTAGGCGGGTGGTGAGAGTGTGCCACTGGTAGCAGGCTCAGAACTTACTCTTTTCTTTCTCTCTGTTATTTCTGTCTTCTTTATTTATTTATATATATATTACACTAAACGACGTTACTGTGTCGATGTCCTTCTCTTTACTCCAACAGCAAGACTTTCCAAACTGAAATCGAACTCAAGTCATTTGCATGCAATAGCGCAGCACTTGACCATTACCTACCACGTGGGCGCCAGGAGACAGACCTACCTCGTTATACCGCCAATGGTGGGTGAGCTTGAGGCTGGCAGGAAAAGCAGGTCTGGCTGTACACGGGGTTCTAATGTCTGTTCCCTGTTATAGCGCCGACAGCCCTAGAGTCTTGGGAAAATGCTTCTGCTGATATCTATGTTTGTAAAGTGTCTTTTTGTTGGTATAGGTGCTTGTGTGTGTGTGTGTGTGTGTGTGTGTGTGTGTGTGTGTGTGTGTGTGTGTGTGTGTGTGTGTGTGTGTGTGTGTGTGTGTAACCTTCCAGTCACCTGTGGGGAAAGTTTGTTTTTATGAAAACATTTATTTAATACAATTAGATCTATGTGTGTGTTTTTGTTTTGGTAAGTGTTTCACGGCGCTCACAACTGCATAAGGTCATATGAGCGTGCGGGACAGTCTTTTTCAGTGGGTAGGACATTTTGAATTTTGCCCGGGTGGCGGTCGTTGTTTCAGTCTGTCTGTCTGTCTTACTTTTTCCCATCACATAATAAATGACCATTATTGTGTCAATGCGCTTCTATATATTTGCCTTCTTCATTGAGCTTTTTCCTGTTGAATACTATTGGCCAGTCTAGATGATCGTGTAACGTGCACGTACCCCTTCAGTTTGTGTCATTTCACTGAAGTCAGATCAGTGTGTGTGATTGGTGGGGACCCCCGACAGGTCCCACTTCTTTTCTTTCCCACAGCGTTTCTGTCTATCTCTTCTTTACACTTTCGTCGTTATTGTGTCGATGTGCTTCTTTTTACTTTTTACTCCAAACCCAAGGCTAAGCTAAAGTCAGGAGGTTTTCATGAGGTCCAAGGGCGCTTCCAAATTCAGGTTCTTACTACATGTGCATCACTGGGTGATCTACGAGATACCAAGGAGTTTGCGTAAACATCTCATCTCTAGACAACCACCATAACAATTTTTACGCAGAGGGAAATGTTAAGTAGTAGGGATTGTTTAAAAATGTAGCCCAAAGTAGTAGACCGTCTAGTGGACCGTCTAGTGGACCGGCACCCTTGGTTTGTTGACGTGAATCCTGGGGTATGGCGGCTATTCAAGAGACATTTGTGTTCCAGATATTGGACGGGTGTCTTTATCTCCCTTCTGGCGTTTTTATTTACCATGGTCTGGGTTTGTAACGTGTCGTCGTGGCAGGAACATGCTTAGACTAGCTAGGCGGTGAGGTAAGAGGGTGATTCTACAAGTACAAGTGAAGAATCTCTGTACTCCCCCTCCCCCTTCTCTCTCTCCTCTCCCCCCCCCCCCCTTTTCACTCTCTGAAAAAAAAGAGAGCAACGTAAAGGCTAATGCTAACGTAATAACTATTTTAAGCGTCTATTAATCCAAGAATCCATCTCAAATGCCCCAAAATCCTAATAGCGCAAGCTAGCATGCCCTTCAGAAACATGCATGCTTAAAATGTAGCTCTAACTGACAACTGAAGAAGTTACCGCGCATACAAATATACACGAGTGTGTACGTTTGCTGATTAGATTTATTCTGTTTAGCGTATGTGGTCGGCCTGTCGTCATACATGTATGATGATGTTCGTCCTTCGTAAGTAAATATAACTTTTGAGGACTCTCGTGGCTTAGAGGTTAAGGTGTTCGCCTTTCATTCAAAGGTTCCGGGTTCGAATCCAGGTAGCGACGGGGGAAAAATCTTCTCTAAAACTGTTTCCTTTCACCTCCTTTCCTGCTCTCTAGCAATGTTCTGTCGTCTGCTTTCGTCCCTGACTTTTTCTGCAGCCTTTCTGCTGCTACCCCTTGGCTCCTTCTTACTGATGTCTGTCAGCCACACCCCTGATCTTCTTGTAGGAAAGATCTACAACTAGCCTTCTCCGACAAGGACGACAAATCTCGGAGGTTCCCTGTACAAGTTGCGCATTTAAAGATCCCTTGGTGGTCTACAATCAATAAGAGTTGGCTTCGGCTGCCACCCGGGCAAAATTCAAAATTTCCTACCAACTAGAAAATTTAATGTGTCTCGCACGCTCATAATATGACCTTATGTAGTGACCAGCGCCGTAAAAGACTTACACCCAAAAAATAAAAAAATGACTTTGACATAGCGTCAATGGGTATGGGGTGAGGTGTATGCTGCGGATGACTGAACAGGCCGATCTTCGCCTGACAGAGTCTTTGGCAATGTGGGCTTAGATGTATGGGTCTGAACTAGGCTGGCAGATGAGACTCATAATACAGTGTAGGCCAAAGCTTTTACCCGAATAGACGTATACACATATCCAACACTGTCAAAAAATATAAGCACTAAAAGGATGCTGCAACTTTGATTTTTGGGGATTAAAGAAGTAGGATGTGATTGTGATTATCATGTCGAGCTGGTAACTATTCCTCGCAAAACTGTCTTCAACTTTGATTCTTCGGCAAATCGTCGGACTACTGAACATTTCTGAAACCAGAGAGCGTTGGTGGCAACATTTTCATGCTGCTTATCATCTTCTGGCGGTACTTTATTGGATATCTTTGGCAATAGGTCCATAAAGAAATGTTATCTGAAAGAATATCATACTAGATCTACAATTTGTAGGCTCTATATTTACGTTCCCGAAAACAGTGGTCTGCGGTTCTGTCATAGGCGCGCGCCGTTATGTACAAAATAATTAAATAAATAATAATAATAATATAAAATAATAATACATTTGTGTTGAAAGGGGCTTTAACCATATACAATGACCAATGCCTGTCATCCGGTATGTAGGCCTACGATATTAATATTATAATATTATATTTTGCCAAAAGGCAAGGGAAGGAACAGCCATCATGTCGAGCAAGCAGGGACAGGCGCGGTTTTTAATTGATTCCGGCATATTTATTGTGTCATCCAGGCTGGTCCGCAAAGTAGAATTGATAATTTGTTGCATGTGTTGCTCATCACAAGGGAAAGAGGGGGGAGGGCGCAGAGAGAAAGAAAGAAAGAGAGAGAGAGAGAGAGAGAGAGAGAGAGAGAGAGAGAGAGAGAGAGAGAGAGAGAGAGAGAGAGAGAGAGAGAGAGAGAGGGGGAGAGGGAGAGGGAGAGAGAGAGAGAGAGAGAGAGAGAGAGAGAGAGAGAGGGAGAGAGAGAGAGAGAGAGAGAGAGAGAGAGAGAGAGAGAGAGAGAGAGAGAGAGAGAGAGAGAGAGATAGAGAGAGAGAGAGAGATTTGTTGTTTTTTTTGTAAGTGTTTTACGGTGCTCGCAACTGCAAGTTCATAATATATGAGTGCACAGGACATCAAACATTTTCAGCTTGGTAGGAATTAACGTTGAATTTTACCCCAGTGGTGGCTGATGCCTAATCTTAGTTAAGGTCAGGGGTGTGGCTGAAAGACAGCAGTAAGAGGGAGCCATGGGGTAGCAGTGAAAGGCTGCAGAAAGAAGAAAGGTTCAAATGTGTGTGTGTGTGTGTGTTGGGGGGGGGGGGGGGGCAGAAAAAAAAGTGGAGACGAAAGCAGATGACAAGACATGGTTAGACTCTGTTAGAGAGCTGGAAAAGAGATGAAAGGATAACGTTTTAGATACTTTTTTTCTGTTGCTGTCAGGTTTCGAACCCGGGACCTATTGAATGAAGCGAAGACCGTAACCTCTAACACGAGCACCCACGAGAGAGTGTTTCAAAACATTGACGGACGAATTTAACTACGTAGGCTACTCTACTATTAAGCCTACTGCATTGCCCATATTATCATTATGGAGACAGCATCCTGCTTCTGACAAATTTTCACCTCTTAGACATTATGTTTGATCTCAGGAGCATACCCCCCCCCCCTCCCACACACACACCGGAAAATACAAACTACCCCCCAAAACAAACAAACAAACAAAAACCCAAACAGTTACAACAAAATATCAAACAAAAAACAAAGGAAATAAAATATTTAAAAAACCACTCATAAACCAAAAACAATGGAAAGAAAATCAATCAGAACAGCAAATGAATCCAGAAATTAACGAATAAAAAACCGCGTTGCTTTCGGATTAGTTTTGATCAGGTAAAAACAACAACACATCCTAGCAACTAACTGAGCCTTCATTCACGTTTATAGCGTACGGAATTAGATGCGAAAGCTTTTCAACTTTTACGAGTGAAGAGGGAGGATAATGTTTATTTGCCGATTAAGACTTACTTTGAAAAACCCCAACAACAAACAAACAAAAACAACAACACAACTGTGTAAACAAAGTAATCAATGAAACTTTCAGCCATGGTTTCTGTGATTTATCATGTTTAAAAATCATTGCATCAAGATATTAGAAAAACTATTTTCAGAACTGTGTACTGTCTTGTTCAGATCGTAGGACGACATGTAGGCTATAACCAATGAATCTGTTCTGGCTTCTGGCAATTTGTAGCTCTGCTGTTCTTACTGTTCTAGCCAAAGCACAGTGTAGAATTCTGTGAGCCAAAGTGAAAGCTCATAGAAATCCGGCTTCAAAACAAAATTATTATTGCCTTCACTCTTTCTCGCTCAGCAGGCAGCCGTCCCGCTGACCCACACTTCACCGCTGTATGCTGTAGGAGGGTGGCAGCAAAGCAGACTCGGTCCCTTTTTACGCATTTTATAGAGCATTATGTTCAAGTCATGCCAATGTGTGTAACGAAGGTGTTGTAAAGGGAAACGCGTGCCTGTCATTTATTCATTTAACTGGCGCTTTGGCCCTCATTTCTCCCTAGGCCTACCTCACCATGGAATCAGCACCAACCGCTGGTAAAGCGACGCCAAAGAAAGCAGTCCATCAACAGTTCCAGTTTGGGCCATGGACAATGTCAACTTGCAAATCACACATTCTAGAGTCTGAGGGCCCTCAGAAGGAAAAGTAAGAATGTTGATTTATTTTCTGTAAATTTAAGATTTAACAAAGTAGCTGGATTGGTAGATTTTTTTCTTCTCCTTCAGCCTTGAGGAACCTCACCTCTCTAATAAAAGAAGAAAATCCAGCGGTCCTGCAGATTTCGGTAGTGGGCTCCACTCTACTGCAAGGGGCTACAAGATTTAGATCTAAATAGTTTAATAGTAGATCTAGAATCTAGTAAGGAATAGGCTATAAAAAAGTAAAAAAAGTACCACTACTAGATCTAGATCTAGATCTAGATCTAGATTCTTGGTCCGAGACCGAGGCAAACACCTCTTCCTCTTGAGTCTTGAACTCTTGTCTCAAAGAAGTCAAAGTGAAAGACTTGTCACTCAGATCTACTTTTAGAATTTTAATTATGTACTATTGTGTCATTTTGAACGCGTCTTTTAAAATGATTTAGTAGGTTTAGTAATGGTCTTACCTTTAATTCCTTTGTTTGAATTTATCGAATATAAGGAGAAATTGTGGATAATCCACACTTTAAAAAAAATAAAAATAAAGGAAACTATTGAGAGCCATTTTATTTTATAGATGATTTTATAATACAATTGTTCCAAAATTTTTACTCTTTGTGAACAGGTTAACGGGAGTGTCTTTGGGCACCGTTTTCATGGAAACACATACATGCCAATGTCAAATCATCTTTTATAACTTACAAAATGGGCCTACATAAATGCACAAAAACACATTTTGCAAGCAAAGATGGAAGCTTTCATATTACTCAAAATAAAAGAAAGTTTTTTGAAGTCATCATAGTCTTAGTTTAATGTTCATGTAGCCATCATTTGTTTTACTCTTTCAGAATCTTGATATAGTTCTTATTTTGATTTTGCAGGTTTGATAAAGAAATGCAACTTCCACAGCTTCCAGAGATGGTGTTTGCTGAGAATTTCTTGCGTGTTCAGCATGAGTCAGGATGCGGGTTGGAATTTAATGCTCTTGATGCACTGCGGTTAGTTGATGCTCATTCAGATCCTGTCAAGGTCGCTGCATCAAAGGAGTGGCAGGGAGCAAGGTGAGTGTTTGTCAAATAATTTCCAAACCCAGCCATCTGGGTGTGGTATTTCCAAACTCAACAGTGTAAGTTCTCCTCTCTCTCTCTCTCTCTCTCTCTCCCTCCCTCCCTCCCTCCCTCCCCCCCCCCCCCCTCTCTCTCTCTCTCTCTCTCTCTCTTTGTGTGTGTGTGGCGCTGTGGCGTCTTAAGCGGTCAGCGATGCCGACAGCACGCAGGAACTCAACACTTGCTTGGTGGTCCTTAAAAAGTGTTGAACGTGGGTCACTGAAATGTCCCAGCAGAAGATGTGTTCTGGCACGAATAGTTCCTGTTTAAGAGTTGTAATACAGGACCAACCAAGCATGTACGTACTGAACTCATGATGAATACATAATGCAACATGCACATTATACAGCAGATTTTTCAGGTCCAGAATTTTTCTTCTACACGATGTGTATTCTTTGCAGGGAAATTCATATTTTTAGAAAAGATTTCCACGTTCTGCCAATTTTGCTATCATGTGCGTGCAAGACTAGAATGAATTTAATGAGAAGTAGTGCACCAAAAAAAAAGAGAAGTTTGCAAAATTAAACAAAGCCATCCTCTTTCATCATGCTTTTTTGTTTGAGTAATGCCATAGAGGTTCTTGGTTAAGACATGATCCATATTTATCTTGACCATGAGATCAGTTCTGGACAAGACAACTGACTATATTCTTAGCTACAGCAAAAGACGATTTGTGGATGTATTTGACACTTCAATTTCATAGTTTTGCATTTTAGTACCCATAAATAGCTCACTCATTTCTTATTGTAAATTTTTTGGCACATATTTAGTTTTCCCCTTACAAAGCACAGACTTACTAAATTTAGTGCTTGTATTCCTGGCAAAGTTTACCTGATATAATTGTAATGACTTTCTGCTCACAACAACTCTTCTAGTTTAGAAAGGTTCTTTTTATTTAAAGAAATAGAGATATGATAGAATGTATGTGTCTCTCAAATTCCTGGAGAACAGATTTTTAAAATGATTCTCGTTACAAGTTTAATTTATTATACGAATCTTTTTTGGGTAATCAGATCCGACTGCGAGCACATCAAGAACGTGGTGTCACCGTTTGACTGGACCTACACTACAGACTACAAAGGAACGATAGTCCAGGAAAAAACGGGTACCCTTACGGTAGGTAGGCCTGGTCCCTTTTCGCTAGAGAAAAAAGCATGGTGTCAGCTAAAGAACTTACATGGCATCGTGTGTTTGTTTACAACAATATTGTTTCATTTGTGAGTATTTTTGAAAATCCAGTTCGTTTGAAACTTGTACTTGTAGAAATCTTGGGGTCTTGTCCAGTCTGTTTAATTTTTGTTTGTATGGATATTTTTCACTTCTATCTTTTCTTGTCTGTTTCTTTTCTTCTCTTTCATTCATTGCTGATGTTATGTTTCGTGTCCTGCCCTTGTTAACATGTTGTAATGTTTGTTTCTTTTCTTGATGTGTTTAGACCACCCCCACCCCCCCAAAAAAAAAGAATGATCTTAGAAGTAGCTCATTGGTTTTGATACAGCAAACTGGTGTAATTAAGATAAGTTTGCAACAAATAATTTCCTGAGGATCTGTCTTGCACTTGTCTCATTTTTGGATTGTTTTTTTTTTTTTCTTAAAATGATCTTCATCATCCCCAGGTGTCTCCAACATTAGATCGCATTGATGTTGAAAAACTGAAGAAGAGAGAACCAATTCATTTTTACGAAGACGTTTTGCTGTTTGAAGATGAACTGTCTGACAATGGGACATCAATGTTGAATGTGAAAGTAGTAAGTAGGAAAGTTCTTACGATTTTTTGCTTTGCTGTATTTAAAGTAGGCTACCAGTGTTGATTTTTTTGGGCTTTGTATGGTTTAATTTTTTTTTCACTATGTTTCAGAAGATAGGCTACTTTGCTTAACTTTACTTTTCCAATCCAACGGCCAACTGAGTTCAATTTCAGAAGTTAAGTGGTCCAAGATTCATGCGTTTGTTTTATCAAATTTAGTTTGTGTTTAAGCTAAATGTAAACATTTTTTAATGGCCACTAAATCTTGTTATAGTAAGAATTCCCAAACAGCTTCGTGTTAAATCAAGTTTGCTGTATAGGGTTTTCTATGGTGACAATGTATCAGCCCAGCCACAAAGAGAGAGACGTTTGTTGGGTTATTCTTGTCACCTACATCAACTTGAGGGTCTTGCCGACAGTGCTGGTGTGAGCTCCCCAGCACTGTGCGATTAACCCTTACAATACCATTTATTGTTCTTTTTTTTTTTGGTTTTGCTAATTTTTAAATCTGTGAATTGCAGAACATGCATAAATCTGGTACTGTTTAGATTTTAATTTATTACGATCACAAATGCATAAATTAAAATCATAAAGTATTGAACCATGATAATGAATGAATCCCTTGATGTGTCGTCCAAATTCTTCATTGTCAGAAGAACAATGTGCATGTCTGTTGTGGGTTATGTTGTGTAACGGCTGAAGTGTTGAGTCATTTGTTCAGTGTAGTGTTTTGCTGTGAAAGAATGGACATTGCTTGAATAGATAGTAGATTTTTCACAAGTAGATTCTTTTTATTAGATTAATGAAAGATAAAAGGGGCAGTATATGAAGTATTTTAAGACAATTTTTGTGTTTGTGATGTTCAGACCTGTTGCTCTTGTCTCCTTGCAAATTGTGTGTGTGTGTGTGCACGAGAGAAAGAGAGAGGAAAAGAGGGAAGGAGGATGCACACATTTATGTACTATGTATAGTCTGTGCTGTAAAGAACATTGACTGTTCAGTGTGAATGGGGTAATAATGTGATCTATTATGGAATTTCTATTTTCTACATAAACTAGTTGATTTGGATGTTTTGAGATTGATTTGTGCACTGAAGGCAGAAACATTAATTTTTTAAAAACATATTCTTTGGGTTTTAGATCTACATGTTATAATTCAATTGCATGATTTTTCAAAATGTTGACTTTTGACCAGGTAAGGCTTCATAAAGTACAGTTACTTTGTGTAAAGTTCTAATGATCACCCGTCCCAAAAAATCACCTTTATAAAAACTTGCTCCCACTTTTACGTTGCCTTTTTAAAAATGTCACCGTCCAAGAAGTCCCCCTGCCTAAGATAAACACTTTTCTCCTTGACAATGGACAATTTCAACGATATATATATGAAATAAGAAACAAGAGATGTTTATTTTTCAGCATTTAGCAATGTACAGTTTTTCTCAGGGCCGGTTTCTGGGATGAATATGAAGTGATTGTTCAGTAGTAGTCTATTGTTTTACAATGTGTTTTTCTCATTTGCATTTTCAAATTTTTTGTTTACTATGCAGAGAGTCATGCCCAGCTGTTTCTTCCTGCTGATGAGGTTTTTTGTGCGTGTTGACCAAGTTTTCATCCGTGTCAATGACACCAGAATATACCATGAGGTGAGTGAATAGGAGGAGTTCTCTTTTGCAATAGTAGGCTTTTCATAATGCACACAGTTAATGGGCTGCACTATGGGATGGTCTGTTTCTTAATAATAAAAGATAGCATTTGTATAGCGCAAATCCTCGCTCAACAGCAAGCTCTATGCACTTTACAATCTGTACTATTACCCGAGCAGACCTGAGAGCATTTTTTACCGTTGCTATCCTTGTCTAGTACTCCATCTTTCCTATCAAACATCTATTATCCTTATCTCTCCTCCTTCTTTTCTTTGTGTGTTACTCTCTAGCCACACCTCTAACGTTCTGTACTTATGAACTATTTGTGCTGCAGATGCAGAGAAACTGGTACTTAAGTTACACTAAACCCTCATCTTATATGCACTGTGTAAAATGTAGCCAATATTGTACTCCCTTGTAACACCTCTAATTCTTTGGCACTTATATGACCTTATTGTGTTGCAAGTGCTGTAAAACTCTCACAAACACTACAGAACCAAGGGGTTCATCCTTGCAAAAAGATGGAGATATTCAATAATGTATTTCCTTCATCATGGGGATTGAACTCGAGTCTTATGCACACTCCATAGAGTGGGTTGATGTTGTTATTTTGTACTGAAAAAAATAATTCAATTTGACAAAGATGTGCAAATATCTAGTTAATTTTACTTTACTAAATATGTCAAAATGTTAATCCAAAATGTTGTTTCATTTTGTTAACTTTCAGGCAGGAACAAACTACATGTTACGGGAGTTCTCCAGCAAGGAAGAGAAGACTGTTAATATTCCAGTAAGTGTACAGCTAGCTATATATATATATATATATATATATATATATTTATATATATATATATATATATATATATATCTATCTCTCTCTCTCTGGTGTGGTTTGCTTCTTCTTTCCGATGAAACATCTATCGTCTTTATCTCCCCTTCTTCTTTTTTATGTTTGTTACTCTCTTGTAACACCTCTACTAATCTTCTGGCGCTCATTTGAACTTATGCAGTTGCGAACGCCGTAAAACCTCTTTTAATACTTAAACTCTCTCTCCGTCTCTGTCTCTGTCTCTGTCTGTCTGTCTGTCTGTCTGTCTCTCTCTCTCTCTCTCTCTCCCCCTCCCCCTCCCTCCCTCCCTCCCTCCCTCCTCCCCCCCCCCCCCCCAATCCCCATTTCCCTTCTCCCATTCCCCTTCCTAATGTTTTGATGATGAATAAGTATCATAAACCTAACCTCGGTCAAAGAGTGCGAAAAAAAAATTGTGTGAAATGGTGTAGAGTTAAAATGCCCCTTACAACATTGTACTCTGAGGTTATTGAAGAAGGGGGATTCCGTATTTCATCCAATTCTGATAGGGCCGAGTCAAATGTAAAAATTTTAATGAAGTGCCTTTCCCAAGAACACAAACGTCGGACAAAGCTGAGCCTTGAATCCCTGAATCAGCAATCTCATGATTACAGGTGCGGTAGCCTCACCAGTAATAAACTACTGGCACCGATCAGAGAGAGTTTTATGTTGTTTATTTTATTTTGTTTAGGTTCATATATTTTTGTGAGTATAGGAACGTAAGAAGGTTAATAAAAGATGTGAATACTCATTACCATACCACACCTCAGGGTTCTTGATTTAGTGAATGGTTCTTTGCTACTGTTTTTCACCTGATTCATTTCTTTTCTTAGCATTGATCAGTCTGATTTGAGCATGTGTTTTACAAAAAAAAGAATTATTCTCAGAGGCATATTTCTTTCCTGACTTTCTTTGCCCAATCTATTTTTTTTATAAGTTCTAGAGTACAGTAACAATACCTGAAACTTTTCTTTAAAAGTCAGAATTATATTTCATACAAAGTAGGTTTTGTGTTGTATTTACTTTACAATCTATGACTCCTGACTCCTTTCCACTTTGGAGAGAGGCCTCATGCTGTTGTTTCTTCGTTGGATTTGTTAGTTTTTCATAGAAAACATTTTCATTTCAACAGGCGGCTGTCCATACTGATCCAAATGAGGTCTCCAAGCATTTGAAACTGACATGTGAAATATTTGAGAAACTTGAGTTCCCACAGTCATGAGGTGAAGCTGTTGTAATATAGGGATAAGTGTTGGAGCATGACATTGTGTAAATGAATAATTAGGTAGTGAGAGAATGAAATATTACAAAAGATTGCAGTGGATGAAATTATTGTTACCGTTACACATTGACTGTGTAAATTGAATGTTTGAGAGTGTTTATGAAAGGGAATTTTTTTTGTTGTTGTTGCTGGTATCAGTTTCATGCCTTTGTTGTGATGCATAGTTCCACTGCTGAAAATTGAAGTAGTGAAGAAGCTGCTCTTACTTTTGTATATCAACTGTACCAGTTTTTGTCTTATAATGGTAAACTGGGCACCAGGGGCAGTATGTTCTATTGTCTGATCATATTGTTACCCTTTTTATGCTGCGGTCGACACGTTATAGGTCATATTTGGAGATGGGTGTTTCGACTCGGCTCTGTCAAGGCCAGCTCGGGGTAATTGGGATACAGTATCTCGTAAGAAAGATGGGGTTGCCCGGTGAATATTGCCCCAACTCAGGAATGAGGAAGCATCTTGTGTACGCAAAACGAAAGTGTTTCCATTTCGTGGGACATGCTCTGCTCATTTTGCAATAGGCTAGCAGTCTATTTGAAAAAGATAATTTATCCTTTTGCATTGTCTTGTTTTGTTTGTGAGTTACTAGGGATACTTTGTCCATTGGTGTAGAATTTGCTGTCAAATTTAGGATATTGTCATTAGGTTTGTTTTTCTCTCTCTGTTTTTCTTTTGTTAGTTGAAAACCCTGAATACACTTGTGTGAATGTGGGATAAATGATATTTTTGTCTATTGAGAGAGTTTTGATATTATGAATGTCCTGTATGATTGCTTGAGGAGAGATGTGGGAAATAATTTTCATATTCAAGAGCATAGCGTCAGCAAACTGTTCAACTGTTATAAGCCCAGAATCAAAATTTTTCATAAGATATAAAAAATGATTCCATTTTTCTAAACATCGTCATTATGTATCTAAGGCCAGGAAGAACAATTTTCACGAGAGAGAAGAAAAGTTTCATTCTTCTAAAAATTGTCACTGTATATCTTTTCTTTTCTTTTATCAACATTTATAACTTGAAGTTTGACAAAATATATTTTTTCAAGCATGTGCTTCCGATACCACAGGTTAAGGAACTGCAATGAAAAAAAAAAAGTAAACATTTTGGGCTTACGTTAGTGCATCTGAACCTCTGGCTGATGAGAGCAGTTGGATCAAGCTGTGTCTGCCTGAACGTTCCACCTCAGGCCTTGCTCCTTGTGATACTTTTTGTATTTTGTGCTGTTTTTTTTTCCTCTTTAATCGTGATATTTTGCTTTTGGAAAGAATGTTTTACATTTATAATTTTGTTCTCACTGTGCTCTGATGTGAATTTCAGGGGGTACTAGTACTGCTGTTTGATTTTTTAAAACCTGCAGTGTAGTAAAATCATGTTAATGTTTTATATATATATGGCAAAAAATGATTCATAGTAAATTCAGTCCAAATTATTCTATTTCAACAATGTTCGAATGTTTCATAGTAAATTCAGTCTAAATTGTTCTATGTCAATAATGTTGGAATTTGTTGATTATGGAGATGTTAATACTGGACTAAGAAAGATGTGGGGATTTTCTTTTTAATCATATCTGAAATATTCAGTTTGTTCATGATTCACATCATGTAATGATGTAATTTTTGTAGTATTAGGTTTTTCTTGCTGACAGCAGAGTGAGTCTAGAACCACGGTTTGCCTCACGAGTCACACTGCTGAAATGAGGAGGATGAGCTTCTGCCTTTTTTTTGCCTTATTAACTAAACTTTGCAATAGTGGGCGCTGCTCTATTTCCTCAGATGGTAGTATTGGTCTACGTCTCATGTTGTATGAAGATAACATATATATGTTGCTAGTTACGTCTATGTGGTCTAATCCCAAGTTGTGTGGGCATGTTTTCATCTTAGTAGTCATGTGTTTTGTCTGATATGCCGTCATTGTTAAAAGTACAGTATATGCAGTTTTTACAATATTTTACGAGCGAGCCAAAGAAATTGAATGTTATTACCAAGAAAACATGTGCTTTAAATAGAGAGATATATGAGGAAGTTATTGTCAAAATTGTATTCTTAAAAATATTGACTTGGGAAGTTTGCAGAGAGTTTGTTTACTTGGTAACAATATTCAGTTTTTGGGCTCTCCTGTAAAATTGTACAAACTGCATACTGTGCTTTTAAAAATGATGACGCTGATGTCATGTTGAGAAACTTTGCCATTGATCATAACTTGATTGTTTATGTGAGCCACAGTGATGAATAAATTGTATAACAGTGGAGTTTGCTTTAACCAAAATCCATGGGACCGTCAGATGTTCTTTGGTTCAGCTGCTTTTTGTTTTAGAGAGATTGCTTAACTCTTTCTATACCTATAGTGATTTTGGGTTCAGACCGCAGGTCGCAAGCAATAGCTTTATGCTAGAGAAGTCATGATGCTTCATTTTGATGCCTTATCAAGAGGGTTATTTGAAAAAATGGTACAACATATCATATATCAACGGAAAGGGAATTGAATGAACATTTTATAGCAAAAGAGAACGTCATAATGTAAAGGAGGTAAGCAACATGACAGAAGACAAGCAAAAGAAAATGGGGAGATAATTTTTTACAACTAATATATTATAGACTCACCACAACTTGCCGGGCTTGAAAACTGCTATAATGCAAGTCGAATGGCATATTATGAAAATATATCTATTTTTCTACACACCAGTTTTTGTTTGAAGTCTCTCTGTCATTCCTGACTCAAATAATCACAATTTAAAAAATGTCTTTACACAGTCAAAATAAATCCCCCGAGCCCCTTCCCGCAGTAAATAAGACTTTACTGATTGTGGTACTTGTAGAAGCATCCCTTTGCACATAGGTGTGGCTTACCAGAGCACTCTGTGCAGTAGAAACTTGTTCTCTTTCTGATTCCCTGTCCACTACAGAGAACGCACCTAACATCAGCGCCATCGAAATCGACGACCCCCTCCCCCTCTCTTCCTTTGCCCCTTCCACTGGGCTCCTGACTCTTTCTGCTGCCTTTCTACTGCTACTCCTTGGTTCCTTCTTACTGCTGTCTTTCAGCCACACCCCTGATCTTCTGGTAGGAAAGATCTACACCTAGCCTTCTCGGACAAGGGCGAAAAATCTCGGAGGTCCCGTATGCAAGTTGTGTGCGTTTAAGATCCCTTGGTGGTGTAAAATCGATAAGAGTAGGTTTCGGCTGCCACCCGGGCAAAATTCAAAGTTTCCTGCCAATTCAAAATGTTTAGTGTGTCCCACGCGCTCATATGACCTTATGCAGTTGCGAGCGCCGTAAAACACTTACCAAAAAAAAAAAAGTGGATGAGGTGGACATTGCCTTGGTAACACTCAATGACATTTCCTCCATTGGCTGTTCCAGATTTTCTGTAAGGGGGAGTTACAAGTGGTGTTGAGGTAATACTTGCAGCAAGTACTATGAGTTCATCTATCAAGCAGTGCTTGAATGCCTTGAAAGTGCATTTTTTGGTTGCATTAGGCCTGCTGAGAACAAACAAAATGTGAGCGTTGACTTTTGCTACTTCGAGGGGCCATGTAAACATTTTTTTCTACGATTTTCTTGTTTTGTGATTGTGCGTACTGTAATACGAAATCATCTGGTCGCCCTGTCACTGCCATTCGTATAGTTGGTGTAATCCTGTATCATGACAGGATTTGACACCTGCCGACATCCTTCCCTGATCTCGGTTGATCCAACACGGAAATTCGTTGCCACCATAATACAGGGTTTCTTTGCTTTCTTGTCCTTCCGTGTGACGCAGAGGATGTCCCGTTCTTCATGGTAGAAGTACTGCTCCTCGAGGTGTTTGAGTCGAAGCGTCTTTAGTTGAGGAGGAAAGAAACTTTTGTTCACATTCAGGGTACCCGTATAGTAATGCCGAGCAGATGATAGGTGGTATGTTATGAGGGGTACCGAGGTGTAATAGTAATACCGATCAGTGAAGATGTGTCCACTGTGCCTCAACGGTTCCATTAGAGTTTTGAAGACTTTTACAGCTTGTGAAGAATCTTCATCACTCTCAGGAATGTAAGAGGTGTCTTTGCCAAAGTACACCAGCAAATTGTAAATGTACCCTGTAGTAGAGTCGCAGATCCCGAATGTCTTGATGTTGTGTTTTCTCCGCTTCATGGCGTTGTACTGCTTGTGTAAAAATCTACCCTTCCAGCCAATGACCATTTCATCCACGGAGGTGGTTTGGAAAGGATAGAATGCTGGTTGGAAATTCTTGAGCAGAGCTTTGATGAATGGTTCTATTTTTGCTTTGCCTTCTTCCCTGGGCTCACACACGTGAATCATGCTGTGGTATAAAAATTGCAAATTCCTCCTGGATAACATTTGTCCGTACTAGGGTGTGTGCAGATGTCTCTTAGTAGACCAGTAGTCAGTGACATTGGGGCGTGGTTCCATTCCCATGGCAATGAGTATGGCCCGAAATTTGTATATCTCGTACCGACCGACTGGTTCCCAGGAAGAGAAACTGGAATGCTTCGTGAGTGGGGTGTGTTTTTGAATTTGAATTTCTGGGTATGCGTTGATCTCTTGGATCAAATTATCTATTGCGGCATTATCAAAATCAAGCTATGCAAAAAAGAAATCAAGAGCATTTGCATTTTCACTCAGGTCCAGCTTAGAGCCACATACTCCACAAAAGTGGAAATCCAATTGTGTTGTTTGCAGAGGCCCTGCTTGCAACCGCCCGTGGTCTTCTTTTTCTGCACCTCTTACAGTAGCCCTTGTCCTTGTGTGGGTTAACCTGGGCACCTTGTTGCTTGCAGCAGCAGCCTTGCCTTTATTTCTTTGTATTTTCGTTTTCCTTTACCAGTGCTAGTACGGGGAACTAGCTCGTTACCTTTACTGTCACTGGAGTCTTGATTCATCATCATCACTAGATCTAGATTGATCCCTCACGGTTATGGTGTTCTCATCGGGATCATTGTCTGAATCACTTAGAATATGAAATTCACCCCAGATATCGTCACAATCACTTCTATCACTCATGTCATCATCACTAGATCTGTCACACAAAGTTTCATGTGGTTTCCTGGCCTGATTGCTGGTAATACGTCTAGGAGGACGAGATTGTGCATCTCCTGATGAAGTGGGCGTTTCCATGTTTGTGTTTACACTGGAAACAAAACAGCACTTTCCTATCTTTGCAGATAGATTTTCCACTCAAAGAAACCGCCAACAATGCAAAGTGACACTTTCTAACAAATTTTGCCACCAGAAATTCATATTTTTGCAGTACTATTTAATATAAAGTCTGTTTAAAATGAGAAACAATACTATGCCGACCAATGAGTCGGTCCTTTGCAGAAATGGTGATAATCGGAAGACCGATGTATCGGCCGCTGGTATAGAATGACTTAAATAGAAGAGAAAAAAAATATGGATTTTGATCTACTTCCAGTTTACTGCTGTATTCAGATGGTTTAACCATGTTCGGTTTAAACAGATTCCACTGTATAAAAATAGCAAAGCCAGTTTCCTGTCAAATGGATAATGCCAACATGTCTTGGACTTGGATTGTCACTATACTTTTCAAGAGCAGCATTCAGTGGGTCATTTTTCAGATTGTCTGACATAATAATATGAAGAAGGTTAAAAAAGTCTACTATAATATTATGGTCTATCTGTTATTACTGTTAACGATTAAGAACATTCTGTTACATTTTACACTGAGCATGTGAAAAAAAAAATTCTTGGTCTGAATGTCTTTGTCGCTGTGTAATGAGGATTACAACTGTACAGAACATTAAAAAAAAAAAAAAAGAATTTTGATTAAATTTGGCAGCTTGTTGTAACATCACAATTTTTCACCGTCATTTTGAAAGGCCTTTTTTAGTAGTACATATGCTTCTACTGCTTTTAGTAAGTTTTATGTAAATCAGTGATTTTGAGTAGATGTTATATTTATTTTCATGGTTTTTTATGTTGGAAGAAAGAATAAGAATACGGTACCAATAAAAGTGATTTGCTGCTATGGAACCAGAATGAAATGGATACTTTTTGTAAACCTTTGAACATCTGTACCAAGTTATTAAACCTGTGGGTTTCTCACAACTGTCTCCTGTCTTTGAGACATTTTTCCTGTTTAAAAAGATATTGAAGGATGTAGCCGTTTTTGTTGGTGTTTTGAGCTTTTCACAGACTCAAGCATTTGGTACACCAAGATTCCAGGGTATGAAGATCAAGGCTACTAATACTAATAGGATTTTAATTGCACCAGAAACAAAATACGAATGTGTAGTCAATAAATGTGACTACATTTTTAAAGGAATACTGGTACAGAGAAAGAAGCAATGTGTTTTAAATGTGATTCTTCTTCACATTTTAAATAATGGATGTAACTTTTCCCATTCTTTTGCTACGGTACATTCTTATTATGTGCCTAGAGGTTACATAAAAGAATAAAAATTCAGGAATGGCTAATAAGCCTATTTCGACATTGTTGCAGTGTTCCTGAATTGGTTTTACATGTAGTTTTAAAAGTGAGTTGATACAGATAGTTTGTTATTGTTAGTGTTTTATGGAACGTGCCACATAATTAGGTCGTATAAGTGCTTAAGATTTGAAGTGTTCCAAGAGAGTAACAAACACAAAAAAAGTGAGAGGTAAAGACGATAGATGTTTGATACTTATGTTGTAGCGAGCGCCGTAAAACCGCATACGAAACTAAACTAAAGATGTTTGATGGGAAAAAAGGAGCAAACCACGCTAGAGCGCCTGTCAACCACCCAAAATGGACAGTTTGACTTTGTTGAGTTTTGTGAGTTCTCTTGGTTCTCCAACAGGCGTCTGTGGTGTACGGTAGTGGTAAGGCACGTCACTGTTGCACAAAGGAGACCCAAAGTTGATTCCCGAATTGGGAGAATTTTTATAGTGTATACAGATCTCGGTCTGTCTGTTGGGATGTTGTATCTCTTTCGGTCTGGGTTGGCTCATGACAGGTAGAGCCCAAGTCTGCCTCCTAAATGATTTAAATTGTTTCAATGGAGGTGTAAAAACACGCAACATTAAAAAAAAAACTTGCTTTCCAGCCACTTTTCTGTCTGGAGACGGATGTTAACCCTTCAAGTCCTGACCTCCAGAGGCTACCACCATGCCCCTCTGCCCGAGTTCCTGAACGATATATTACTGACATATTCATATCATCGTCGGAATCACATTCCATATCCCACTCATGGTAGTCCTCGTCATTACTAGTATTTAATTTCGGAAAGATTTTCAAAATAATCTTTTACGTCCTGTGTTTCCCGTGTACATTTTGTTCCAGGCCGGTTTGGGGATACGGTCTCGCTGACCCACCGTACCAGTGGCAAGGCATACGGGCAGTTTTACGCGCCACTGGTTTTTTGGTTTAGTAGAGGTTTTATGGCGCTCGCAACTGCATAAGGTCATATGAGCGCCAAGGGGTGGATGTCAACAGAGCAGTCCTTACAGGGAATCAGACTTACTCTGCTCACCGGGGGGTTGGGGTGGGTGCCACTGGTGTGCCGGTGGCGGGGGCTCAATATTATAATTAATCATCTCCTTCACATAGCCCTGCGAGAGCTCAAGGAGTAATTGAACTGACTGTAATACCCAATACGTGTATCTTCATCTCACAGCGTAGTTGACTTTTTGTTCATGGCCATTTTATCTACAGAGCGTAGACTAGAATAATCCCTTTGCCTGGTAAACAAACATCCACTGTTATTGGAAAACGACGTAAAACTAAAACAATACACATGCACACAAAAAATGGAATTCGATACTGATCAGATATGTCGTCAATGCTATCCCACAAGTACTCACGTAATTTTTTGGAGAAAATTAAAATAAAAGAGGGTGCTTAAATTAGAACCTTTACCATGACATGTGCATTTTTATATTTTTCAATTTAAAAAAAGGGAAGATTATTATGAACCAGAACAATGACAAAAATATTGCCAGAAAGTCATTGATGTCATTATTTGTCCAACGGCTTTAACTGAAAACCCCTAGAATATTCATTTATGTGAGCAATTGTGGAATAATGCTGACAACAAAATATCCATTCATTACTCTGCCAGTATATTTGCACTCAGCACAACAAACAGTGGTCACAGCTAGTGCTGGGCGGCTAAGTTCCCGATTATTGAAAGCTAGGAATCGTAGGAATCGACTCCGAACCCAACTGCTTACTTTCTAATGATGGGATTTTTTTCCCTGTGGTTACCTGGTTGGTGCCGAACATGTTCAGGATTCAGGATGACCTTGATTGAGGAACACTACCAAGCAGCAACTTCTTTTTTTTTCCAAAAAGAAGATTTTAATGATAAAAATAACTGGCAACCGTTGGTCTACGTAAAAAGGAGACGGACCTTAACTTCCTTATTATTAATCGCGGGAATCGGTTCCGGAATCGACTCTTCGCCCAGCTCTAGTCACAGGATACATACATTGTACTGGCAGAGACACACAGAAACATGATCGTGAAATTCTGCAACACAACTCAACGAGTTCCACTACTTCCTTTATTCTTTAAAGTGAAATGTATATCTGTAATATGACTGATCAAACTGACTGGAATGCATAAAACTACGTGTGTGGAAAAAGAGAAGAAAAAACAAAAAACATCCAAAGTTATAAATTATAACCAGTTCACAAATGATTGAAACAACCTGAACAAAAAAAAATTTGATAAAATTCACAACAAAATTTGAACAAAAACTAACCCACACACAAACAGGTGAGTGACTCCGAGTGTATGATTTACCTGCATATTTCGAAGTAGTATCGCATACTTTAAACATACAGCTCTAAGCACATAGCCAAATACGGACCACCTGATAATGATTTGTTGAAAAACTAACACCATGATCAGAATATATGGAAGTTGAGTAGAACATGCAAAAAATGACAGAAGAATAAATCCATACGTACTTGTAAATATATAGAAAACATATACGAAGCAGTCCAACATAAAAGTGAAACACAAAAGCCATGAAACTCGAAACTGGAGAAAAAAAAAAAGAAACAAAATATTGTCCAACACATTCTTGTATAAGTTAGTAATTCAGTGTAATTAATTAATTATTGAGCTTTCCTTTGCAGCTTACTTATCTCGCCGTGACTCGCACCATAAATATTCCTCCTTGTACTCCGCATATTTTGCTGAATGAATACTGAATGTAGATGATGAATGCAGAAAGAAACACAAAATTGAAGAAAATTGTTCCATCTTGCGTAGTGAGTGTCACAACACAAAAATGGCCTACTATAAAATCCTAGTAAGTAAGAAAGTAACACACAATATTAATTAAATGTATTAG